AAGATTTTTTTATGAAGTTTTACACGTTCTTTTTTTTTATTATTTTTTTAACAGCGTGTCTTACTCATGTGTACTTACATATTTTTGTCTAAAGGTTAAATGCTAAATTTGGTCCCTCAACTTTAGTGAGTTGCACATTTTTGATCCCTTAACAATTTTTCGCACTTTTCTGATCCCTCAACTATACGAAATGCACTCCATTAGTCCTTCTGTTAATTTCGATCGTTAACTCGCTTATGTGGCATTTTTTATAATTTTTTTTATGACGTGGCAAAAACAAATTGAAAACATATTAGACGTGTAATTTTTTTTATGCCAACTCACCTTATTCTTATTTATATTTTTAAAAAATAAAATAAAATAATTCATTCATTTTTTCTTCTCTTTTTCTCTTTTTTTCTTCCTCTTCTTTCTTCTTCTTCTTCCTCTTCTTCCTCGGGTTATTGAACCCTCTGCTGGGTTCGACGGAACCCAGCCCTGGGTTCCAACGAACCCAGAACCCAGCTACACTTTTTTTTTTTTTGTGTTTATATGATTGTTTACCAAGAGATTATTTTCAAATTGCAGGTTGTTGCGAGGGATTTTTAGACAATTGAATTCAATGAATTGAGCCGGGTTCGATGGAACCTATTTGCTGGATTACATCGAACCCAGATCTGCTAGATTCCGTCGAACTTCATAAGGGATGGGCAAAGAAACAATTGTTAGTAGTGATGTGGGACCCATTTAGATGAATTTGGTGTATTTTCGCCAGGTAGCATGTGAGATGGCAAAAGTTGCATGCGTGTCATCACTTTTTTAAGTTTTGCCTTCCACATCATCAAAAAAAAAATATAAAAAATGCCATCTAAGCAGGGTTAACGGCTCAAATTAACAGAAGGACTAACAAAGTGCATTTCGTATAGTTGAGGGATCAAAAAAGTACAAAAAATTGTTGAGGGACCAAAAATGTTCATTTCTTAAAGTTAAGGGACCAAATTAAGCATTTAACCTTGTCTAAAAAAGTGTAATTTTTATATTAAAAAAATAATACCAAAATATCTTAATATTTAAAATGTTAGAATATTTAATAATAATTATATAATAAATTTATCAAGATCAAGATACATATTATATTTTATATATTTAATAACTATAATTAAATATGTTAATGCACCTGATCTTTCGAATTTAATAACATTATACTAAAATATTTTAATATTTAAAATGTTAGAATATTTAATAATAATTATATAATAAATTTATCAAGATCAAGATACATATTATATTTAATATATTTAACAACTATAATTAAATATGTTAATGCACCCTATCTTTCAAATTTAATAACATTAATCACATTGAAAAAAATACACTCGCACTTGGCCCTTTGGGCCAAGCAGCCTTAGGACTGCCTTGCAATGCATTTCTCCCTCCCCCATGGTGGGTTCGATACTCACCCTTGTAAAACTTGGTCAAGAAAAAAAAAAAAAAATACACTCCTCCCTCCTCTTGGGTCTGGGTTTGATCTTGTCCCTTATAAACATGTTAAAAACAAAAATTGGATATGTTAATATTTTAAATATTAAAATGTTTTCATTTTCTTATCCCTCCTTTAATCCTTTTACATTAAACCACGCAGTGCTCACTCTCTTGGAATAATACCCTCCACCTCCCATAATTATAGAGAACCACTAATATCAAGGCGTTCATCATGATGTAATGGTTAAAATTATGCAATTGAAAATAATTTAAATTGTACAATACTTTTTGTTATTATATAACAAAAAAAAAAAGATAGAGCAAAACTTTTTATATTAAGATGTATAATTAAAATCATAGAATAATAATAAAATTAAAATAGAAATGAAATATTTATC